AACTCGAATCCCGCGTGCTGACATGGAGTTGACTCTGCAGTGTTGGATCTAGCACTCGACGACAACCACTCACTACTCCACGAGTTTCCCATTATACAACTGGTAGGAAGAACCAACCACCACCAATGTAACATCATTGCGACATGTGGTGCGGCGTCGTGTGCATCTACGCAGCATACTACTGCGCATTCGGTCGTGGGTGTTCGCCGACACTGGAACAACGGCAAAACACCGTCCGTAGTCACCGAAACATGCTGCGATGTAGCAATTTGTCGGCGTGGCATGCACGTCGTGCCCAATCATTGCACATTACGCACCACTTCACTCAGACGTCCACGCATCCACGAGGGTGCCCATTTTCCAACTTCAACCACCGAGTTTGGCACTATGGAACATTTAGAATTTCACATACGAATTGATCTCCCTGCGTGCCAAACCTACCTGCCTACACTTCTTAGTTGGTGATGCCATAAGGACGTGGTGTTAATTGTGTTGCGTCACAACGAAGCACCAGCAGGCCTGCTTGTGCTGGATCTAACTGCCACAGGTCAGACAAGCACACGTGCAAAACTACAGCCAGACGCGACACCGGCCCTGTGCCCGAACAACCAACTTCACTACACCGCGAAACCACTTCGTGTTTAACTTCCACCCAATAACAACGTGTGCGCGGATGCGTGTAGGTCATGCGGGTCACGTGATTAGTCACGAGATGCGGTGTTGGTTGGGGTCGTGGGGTGATGGCGCGAGTGTGTCGTCGGCTAGCGCGCTGTTCCGACTCACCGCGTGCTAACACCATAAACAGAGAGCAGTGATGCTGTTAAAGTGTCAACCGTTAATGTCGTCTTCATTTTGAGGTTCTCGTACGCGGGTTCGCAATGCCACTCGCCCTCACCTCCCCATGGAATTCGTTGTAACTTACCGTCGTCACCGAGTCATCTTCATCATCGTCAATTCCAGCCTTGTGTTCGTTTCTTGTGCTCGTCAGCCAACAATTTTTTTTTGAATTTCGTGGTCCGTATGCCCTTGAGAAGCATTGTCGAATTGACCACAATTTGTCTGGTTATGGTCTGGTTTCAAAATGGCATCTCTTGTGTCGAGGAGAAGTAATGTAGGCTGTTTCGGTAGTCGACTTAGTTGATTTTCATCACCCGTGCTCCAATTTGACATGACTCAATTAATAATCGTGTTTAATCTTGCTCGTATTTCAGAGCGCTTTTATTTGAGGAGGCCCTGCATCGATTCTGCGACGCTATGTCACCGACCTCTACAGAAGCAACCATTGAAGCCCCGTCGTCGTCGTCCGTTAAATGCGGCCAGGATGCTCTCGCTGGCGACGCTCCCTCGCACCGCGCGTCCGTCTTACACGACCCTGCGTGTCTCCGGCACCTTCTCGCTCACATTTCCAATCTCAGAAACGAAATCGCAGTAAGCGAGAGTGCAGACAATTTCGTTCCACGACTGCTAAGTAGTCCTTCTGGGCAATTCATTGCCTCTCTCTCCTCATTCACGTCTGGTCCACTTCTAGAAATCCATTGTGGGGCACAGGTGAACGATTAGCCGGGCTCATTCAAACCGCGATCGCAAACCGATCTATCGACAGTGATGTAAGGCTCACCATTCAAGAGCTGACACGACACCAATTATCGTAGGTCTTGTCGAAGGCTTGATAATCACAAATGAAAAATTGGATTTTGACCAGTGGCTAATGCAAATATTACCGAGATAGCTAAGCATGGACAGCAAGTGCGAGAACCTCAAAATGAAGACGACATTAACGGTTGACACTTTAACAGCATCACTGCTCTCTGTTTATGGTGTTAGCACGC